ATATATATATATATATATATTGGCTAATAAGAATTAACAACATTAGAATTAAAAGTTAAAATTTAAAAAACTTAATTGTTTTATGTCCTAGTTTCATACTCTCACCCTCAGACCCTTTTACTCACGTCTCTCTCTTAGCCCGCCTGTCGCTCGCCGCCCATCGCTCTTTTCCCCTCCAATCACCAGCCTCCGGTGCTTGCTTATCGTTCTGTAGGTCTCGTCGTCCATAATTCAGGTCAACTCTCCCATCTCTGACTCTCTGAGTCTATCCCTTATTACGTCTCAATGTATTTTTCTTGTTTTATCATTTCACAAAGATTTTCTTTTTACTTTTTTATTGGGGGGAATTACTAGTCTAAAAGAGTGAAAGTTAATTTTTGAGAATCAATCTTTTGATGGATTTTGAGCTCTCTACTTCAGAAGTTAGCAAATCCCTGATATCTGCGATTGAAACCAAAAAATTCAGTGAGATTTTGATTCGACTTTTCTCCAAATTCAGTGCAATTAAAGTTGAACTTTTCAACTTTTTCGGTTTGGTACAGAACTGCACAGGTGCTCACCGTTTCAAAAAATTCAGTGCGATTTTGATTCGACTTTTCTCCAAATTCAGTGCAATTAAAGTTGAACTTTTCAACTATTTCGGTTTGGTACAGAACCGCACAGGTGCTCACTGTTTCAAAAAATTCAGTGCGAATTTGATTCGACTTTTCTCCAAATTCAGTGCAATTAAAGTTGAACTATTTCAACTTTTTCGGTTTGGTACAGAACCGCACAGGTGCTCACCCCTTACAGCATGTGATGAAAGTGGAAGATCTATTCATTTGGAGGGAAATTTTCATTTATCCAAATCCAAATGTATATATCAAGTACCAAAATGCCATCATCTTTAGCTAAACAAGTCAAAATACGTTAGGTTTAGCTGGATTTTAGTTTGACCAAAACATCATGTGTATGTGTCATGTGTGAGTCAGTATTCTCTTTGTTGATAATTCTAATAAAGAACGTAAGAAGAACACAACTGCACCGACAAACAGAATAAGCCACATTCACTGTCAAAATCATGAGCAGAAACAAAAATTCAGACCACTCAAAACGCAATAAAATCATCTGATTCGGCCCTTTGGTTCAACAACCGCTCACAGTACGGAAAATGACCCATCAACCATTTCCTAAAATCTTACAAAAAAGCAACAGTCTCACAGAGACAAAAGCAGCCTCCACAGAGCCCAGTCACATTATTTTAACCATTCCCCTAAGCCCCTATGTAAAAACTTGGGAAACGCTACGGTCCCATTACGGAACCATTATGTCGGGTTTGTAACCGTCACATCATCATGTCCGTCCGTCATAGATAATTGATCTAACGGTTACAAATTCCGACGAAATGGTTTGGAAACGGGACCGTAGCATCTCCCTAAAAATTTAAAAATAAAATAAGAAATAAAAATCTAAAGCACGAAAAATGGCAGCAAACCTCGGCTTCTTATTCACATATAGTAAAAAGGAGGTGTGGTGCCACTAGTCGGCTCTCTCAGTATTCTTGGCCACCCTTTTAGATGTAACCGAGTTAGGAGTGCTGTTTGAAAGGCATTGAACCGGGTCGACATTTGGGTCGTATTTTTGGGAAGCAAGAAAATTCAAAGCTGTAACAACATCAGCAATGAGGGGCCGCATGTTGGGCTGCTCTTGAACGCACATGGCAGCAACCGCAAGCGCTTGGTACAGCCCTCTAACGGGATACCGGCCCTCAAGAGCTGGGTCCGCCATTTGGTGGAACCTTTTCCGGTCCTTGAACAACGGCTTGGCCTGCAAGTAAGTGTGCTTATTTTCATTAATACAACAAAATTAAGGTAAATCCAAAAATATAACACACAAATAAATCACAAGAACACAACACAACCTACTACATAATGGAGCATAAAGAGTTGTGTTTTCTGCTCTCTGACTATATATCTCGTTAGAGCAACTCCAATAATTACGTGATCAAAAGCTAGAGCAAATATAAGCACCAGTAATACCAACAAAAAAACATGTCAGGAGCAATCGCTTTTAAACACATTCGGATACAAAAAGGAAGACACCAAGTAAAAGAACAGAGAATAAAGGCTCTCTATGTGGAGCCATTTTGGATGGTCTCATTTAAAAGCAAAAAGAGAAAAAAGTTCATCAAGCCGCACATGGATCTTTCAAGAATTTCAATCTGCTCTCTGCTAAAAGCTTATCAGTATCTGGTGCTTAAAATTTAGCATAAAAGTCATTATGAAGAAACAACACCACTTTACTTCATAGGACTGCATTACTCAAAACAAAAATAATAAACTTTTCATTTGCACAAAAGCAAAAAATTACCGTCCACAACTAATAATTGAAGTATTTAAAAAAAATGCATAAGATGCTTGCTTACCCATGCAACTAAGTTTATCTCCGAACCATTTCTTCTGTTGTCAATGGCTCTCCTACCCGTGATTATCTCCAAAAGGACGACACCAAAACTATAAATATCTGATTTGAAGGTGAGTTGACCAGTCATTGCATAATCAGGTGCACAATACCCATATGTGCCCATTACCCTCGTTGAGACGTGGGTCTCATCTCCCGTGGGGCCGACCTTGGCCAGCCCAAAATCCGACAGCTTGGGATGATATCCCTCCCCTAGCAATATATTAGAACACTTCAAATCACGGTATATGATCGGCTTCGCCATCTTGTCATGCAAATACTCCAATCCCTGTGCTGCCCCAGCTGCTATTTTCATCCTTGCGTTCCAATCCAGCTTGCTCCTATTCGGTCGAGTGCCTGCACGTCAGAAAAAAACATGATTAAACCCAAAAGGAGAAAAAAAAAATAAAAAAAAGGAATTCAGTTTACAACAAGTGTCAAGTGGAGATTAAATACTGTGTAGATGGTCCTCCAAGGAGCCTAACGGCATGTACTCGTACACTAACAACCTCTGAACTCCCTCAGCACAATAACCGATCAATTTGACAAGATTGGAGTGTTTGGCCAAACTCAATGTCATAACCTCAACCACAAATTCACCAATCCCCTGGCAGCCATTCCGGTCTAGCTGCTTGACAGCCACAATCTGGACACAGGTGACGATAAAAGATTTAACAGATAGGTTATCAAGAAACACGAGCCACAAATGCATAATCACACAATAACTGACCTCACCACTATCCGGTAGACGACCTTTATAAACTTTTCCGAAGCCTCCGGCTCCAAGAAAATTCTCCGCCTTGAAATTCTGAGTTGCCGAAACTAAGGTGTCAAAGGTGAATGTCCGGGCCTTAGTGGCATTGGCTTCTCCATTACAAGGACTAGTCTCGGCATCTGGTCTCTTTTCGGCTTGAGTAGGAGACTGGTTTGCAACTGCAGGGCCCTTATTCAGGAGTTTAGGTGGACCAGTATCTAAACAGCATAAAAAGAAAAGGAGAGATTCAAATATTACTGTGGCAACACTAATGGCTACTCCAACAACAAGTAGAAAAGACAAGGAATCAAAATATCATCCACAAGCTGAGAAAAAAATTCAAGACAAAACAAGACTTCAAATACCACCACCTCAAGATACGTCGAGTTCTCATTAGCAAATAAAAACTTACTCCAAGGACCTTCAAAAAAATGTATAACAGACAAATCGTCGCACGAAAAATGTCACCAATAATAGATCAAAAATTCAACAGTCATATACAGAGAGAGATAGAGCGAAACATGTAACATTGATACTAGAAAATTCAACTGTTCTACATGAGAATATGAAAAACATAATCACAGACCCATTCTACAGTAAACGTAAACAATCATCAACTTTTCGCCAAAGATCGTAAAACGAATTCAACAAAATAATGTAGCCCACGAAAAACGGCACAAACAAAACCAAATCAAACCCTTCATAAGTTCATAGCACCCAAAAAAAAAAAAAAAGTAAACTCGCAAAAAATCAAGAACCCATTAAAATCAAGGACCCATTATCCAAAAACCGCTTGATCTTGTTTACAAACCTGACCGGGTCTTTGCATGATCATCGATTTTTGTTCGATTTTTATCACTGCAATTCAATCGCTTCCTCTCTTCTTTGTCATCACTGGATGATCCTCCAGGGCAGGAGAAACACCCCATTCTCATCAGATCCTAACACGGAGAAGGTAAGAGAACAATTTTTTTTTTTAAAGATTGAAACCAAAGATCGAAGAAAACAGAGAATGTTTATACTTCCATTGTTCCTTCAAGCATTTAAACTTTAAAGTTACAGACTATATAGACTAAACTGATCTTGCTCTATATATATAATTGTTTTTTTAATATTTTATAACCTGCGGCGCTTGTCTCACGGGCCTGTGATGGTCACCACGTCTCACAGACGGATGTGAGCCCTCCGATTCGAAACTGATGTTTTGATGGTTCCACATTTGTGTGGTGACGAGTGACGACATGTTGTTGTTCACCAACCCAGTTTGAGGAGGCGGTGACGAACGCGTTTCCGCTGGCACGAGTTAATCCAAGGGCAGTAATTAATTTGGGGACGTACAGCGAAGGCCCAATGGAATCAATCGCTCGCGTACACGTGTCCGGGTAAAACTCGACCCACGGCTGTGTATTTACTGTCGTGGTTAATTTTGGCAACACGCGGGGGCATCACGTAATCTGGGCCGAGGCGCAGAAGAGATGAAGAAACGAATATGGTGGGATCTTTTTATTTCCGTTAGCGAAATAGGAAAACTGAAATTAAAGCGAGAAAAGCCGGAATGGAATTGGAAATTTAAATTTAAATACCAAAAAAAAAAAAAATTCAATTTCTAAGTGCTTTAAAAAAAAAAAAATTTTTAAAAAAAAAGGTTTGGTTAGATATAAATATATGGGTCAAATCTTTTTTACCCTGCTCTAAATCTATTTTTTCTTTTACACACCGCCCCGACAAATAACTTCTTTTACACCCCAAAATTCACTAAATGCTATGCGATATTACACTCGCATGTCCAAATAGACCAGCGCATATCCAACCGGACGCATAATTTATGACTATGCGAAAATATTTCGCATTTTTGTAATCGCATATCCACATCAAACACATAATTTTTACAAATATGCGAACATCTTTCGCAATTTAAATCGCATATCAAAATCGAATGCAACATAATTTACGATGATTATGCGTCTTCTTTTCGCAGAGCTGTATCGACCTTGCAAATATATGACTGTGCTAAAATCTTTCGCATATAATTCGCATAATTTGTTGAATACGTATTTTCTGGAAATTGCATATCTAAGTCAATCGCATAATTTACTAGTATGCGAAAAACTTTCGCATATATCCGTCGGATAAATGACAGATATGCGACATTTTTTCGCTCGCAATTGAAGAATCGCATAACCAAATCGAAGAAACCATAATTTAATTGACAATTACGCGCCATTTTTTTCGCAGGGTCATATCGTCATGGCAATTTTACGACTATTCGGAATTTGATCGCATATCTGTCGCATAAGTTACGCACCTCATTAATTGACTGCTTTTTCAAAAGTGAGGATTTTGTCTGTGCATTTATCATGCAGGTAAAAAAAACAACGATCTCTAACAATTCAACGTCTGCACCATTCTTCTCTACTGCAATTTTCTGTTTGTTTCATTTTAATTCCTTTTGTTGTTCACTTATTTGAATGGCTACCAACCGTGTTAGAGTATGCGTGAGCTATGGTGATACGTTTTTCGGGGGTCCATATCTTGGTGGAGTGGCATAGCTGATGAGAATAAATTACGGCTGATAAATGTATTCTGAAGTAGTTTCTCGTGTTCAAGCATTTTTGAAGGTCGATCCTTGTAATTTTGAGTACATATTGTGGGCAGTATTTGATAGAAGGGAACGAGTTGTGATAATAAAAATCGAATCCAGTGAGGATATCTTAGAGTTGATTGAAGAACAAAAAACTGACAACATTACGTAGAGTTGGAGAAGCGAGTAAATGTAGGGATTCCGGGGACGGCGCAACAAAGCTTCACGCAAATGATGGCGTCCCAAAGTGTATTTCCGAGTTCTTTTGGTGTTGGTAGTTTTGCATTTTCCCACGAGGCTCCATATTCACATCAACCAGGCCCTAGTTCATTTACACATAATGGATATTCTCGGGGCGCTGATGATCAAACCGCAGGTTGTTCGAACCAACCAGGTCATTCTCGTGATGATGACAATAATGATGACCAAACCAACACGCACAATGGTGACTCAGGCGACGAAGACAAAGAGGTCAATGAGAAGCAAATGTTCAAGCTTTTCAGGGCGTGGTATTGCGAGCATATTGAAGTGCTAAGATTAATTACTGACCATATTGAGGTTGAAAGTCTTGCATATATGAATCGAGCTAGCACCCGACAATCTGACGTTGAGCCACAAATGTGGTCCCTTCCTATGCCGCCCACGACAACTGGATCAGATAGACAACCCATCCACTTGCCCTCGAACAATATAGAATTATCTTTGGGGTCTGTCTTTCTTTCGAAAGAAGAGTTGATTTGTGCCATCCAACTGTATCACTTGCAACAAAAAGTTGAGTGTCGAACACCCAAATCCTGCACTTCTAGGTTACTATCTATTTGTCGGTATGAAGGGTTATCTGCAAGGGCAAACCGAGATGTATGGAGAATCACTACTTTGAAAGTCGAGCATACATGCGAAGGGAGTTTGACGCACAATCGACACCGTTCGGCTAATTCCAAGGTTCTCGCTCATATTTACGCACCAACTATTCAGACAAATCCCCAAACGATATCTACATGCATAATTATTGAACAAATGCAGGAGGAGCATGGTTTGTCGATCAGCTACAATGTGTCCCTTCGAGTAAGACACCGTGCTTTTGAAAAATTTTATGGAGGTCATGAAGAATCATGGGGGCGGCTTCCCAGTTACTTGTACATGTTGCAGGTTCGTAATCCAGGTACAATTGTCGAACTGCAACGAGATGGCAAGGTATTCCAACACTTGTTCTTTTCTCTAGGAGCTAGCATTGAGGGTTTTCAACGAGCTGGTGTCCCGGTGATTGTGATAGATGGTACCCACTTGAAGGAAAAATACAAGGGCATTATGTTTGTTGCAGCCACATTGAACGGGAATCACCAAATCTTTCCCCTCGCAGTTGGCATTGGTGATGTAGAGTGTTGTGAGAATTGTAGTTGGTTTCTGACTCAATTGAAAAGGGCCTATGGTTGTCCTGATAACCTCCTCATCGTATCGGATAGACATGAGTCTATCATATATTCTGTCCCAATAGTGTTCCTGAGGCGCATCATTCATTTTGCTGTTATCACATCACAAAAAAATGGGGCCTTTTGGAAAATTTGTCTTGGACATATTTTATAAGGCGGCATATTGTTATCGGCGTGAAAACTTATATCGTTACTTGTCATCCATCCAAAGCCTAAAACCCGAAGCATTTAAAAAGCTAACTAATGAAATTTCGGTAAATGCTTGGGCGAGGTGTTTTACACTTGTACGGCGCTATGGATTCATGACATCCAATTCATGCGAAAGTTTGAACAACAAACTCCGTTGGGCCAGGATGTTACCCGTTTGCTCATTGTTGGAGTATGTTCGAGCAACGATAGAGAAATGGTTTGTTGTTCGGCGTGCGCCGCCGAGGGTTGCAATCATCCGCTAACGCAGTGGACTCAATTGCGGTTGGATCCTTTGTTCGAGAAAGGTCGTACTCTATCCATTACCACACTCGGCATGCAACGTTATAAGGTTATGGAAGAAACACGATCCTACGTGGTAGATTTAGAGGCAAGAACATGAGATTGTCGTGTGTTTGAAACAGATCTACTAACTTGCTTACATGCATCTACGGCTATTCGGTAATGTTTACCAAACAACATTATCATTTTGTCTTTAAAAAAAAAAATGTTATATTCTAATATGATGTGCATTTACGATATGTAACATGGAAGTCGGGTTAGATATAATGAATTTTGTTAATGACCATTACACAACTTACTCAGTTGCAAGGATGTACCAAAGTACCGTTAACCCCGTCCCGCATCCAGATGAATGGCACTTGCCCCTGGAAATTATGCGTAAAAAGGTAATTCTGCCAAATGATCCCAAACATGCAGGTCGGCCACGTACTCAACATTATTCCGCTGGAGAAGGATCATCACGTCGAGTACGGCGTCAGAAGATGTGCTCACGGTACGGGGTCACCGGGCATAACAGGGCGAAGTGCCCTCTATACGACGGTGATAATGACTTTTTTTCAAATGAAGAAGGTCAAAACGCACCAAATACTCATCCAAGACGCCCGAGGAGATGTCGTACATGTAAAGAAACAGGTCACAAATCGTCATCATCCATCACGTCCAATCCATGACAATTAAGATGAATATGGAGACGTTATGTAATGTTATGTACCTCACTGGATTTTTTAATTGTAAACCAATTTAGCGGAAACAATACTTTTAACTGGAAAAATACTGTGTTGGTGCCCTAAGTTGTGACCTGCACACGATTGACCAACAAAAATTAGTGAAACTGGGTCGATCGCGCGATTCGCATAACATGTCCCATAATAATCGCACAATTGGGTTGATTGTGCGATTCCTATATCATATCCCATAATAATCGCACAACTGGGTTGATTCGCCTAGTCTTCAACCGCATAGTTAACGAATCTTATATCCAAATCGAAAACTGCATAATTTACGACTATCCGCCATTTTTTTCGCATATCCATATGGACCGCATTGATTGATTGTCTGCACCGCATATCTAAATCGAAAGTGCTTCGCATATTATTTGCATACGTTACGCACCACATGGATTGATTGTCTGCACCGCATATCCAAATCGAAAATGCTTCACATATTGTTCGCATAAGTTACGCACCGCATTGATTGATTTTCTGCTTTTACACCTAAAAAACTATGACGATTTGCATTCTTTCTCATTTAGTTGTCGAGTTGATGTATATCTACCTAGCCTTAAGTGTTATCTGTATTTATTAACCTTTCATTCTCTTTGTTGAAGAGGCGACCTTTCACTTCTCAAAACCCTATCTTTCCATCGCAGCCAAAAAAAAAAAAGAAAGGAATAGAAAGGAATTCACCGTATGAAAAAGATCGCGATCTGCTTCCGTGGCAAATGTTTTTCAAAAGGTGTCGTCAGAAGGCAGACATATGTTGGACTGCCTGCAGCAATAATAAATATTTTCTTCTTCTGTCAAGTATGTGTTTAATCATGATTCATATGTCCAAACAAAACAATATGTTGCATGGACAATGAAACCATTAATGTCCGTCAACAGAGTTTTGCCAGCAAAATCAGCGACAATATTTGAAGGGAAATTATTATTCGCAGAATTGTGAACAAAGTGCGATAATTCGCATTGTGTTCGCATATCGTAATGAAAAAAATAAAAG